TGCTGGATGTTCTGCCAACACATGGACCACGCTAAAATAAGTTATTTCTGTTTTTCTGTTGTTGCTTGCTTTTTAGTGGGGGGTTGCCGTTCTTAATCTTTTACATTTTTAAACCAATTAAAAGCAAATCAGTCCACTATGTAATAAAGCCCCAAAATGAAATGCAGAAAATAAAAGTGCTAAAACCAACATCAGGGTTACAGAAACCATGTGCTTATACTGTACATGTGCACGTATAATTTCTTTCACATTTTGCACGCGGGATTTAGTTTGCTTTGAGTGAGTAGGTGCAGTGAAGATGTGCAATATACAGTACAGTACAAGTAGGCCTCCACGCACCCCAGCCTCCTGACTTTCAGGGGAAAAGGGAAAAAATGTTTTAAAACTGTGGAGAAGTGATGTGTGGCCTACTACGTGCCTCTAGGTGCATTTTTGCTGTCGTCAGGCAAGTCCCTACATTGCAGTGCTGCCTAAATGTGGATTCTTTCTTTCTTTTTTTAAGCTCTTTTTACCAAGGCCTATTAATTATTAACTGGGATCGCAAACATCAAAGGGGCAGAGGCAGACAGTGCTGAATGGACTACAGCTGAGACTGATCTGGGGGGGGGGGCTGGTTCTCCCAGTTTCTTTTTGATCATGAGGTATATAAAATTAAAAAAGAAGACAAACACTTTAACCAGTACTAATAAAAGAAGATAAAGCAATAAAACGTTGCTCAGATATCACAGCTTAAGATCACAGTCTGTTGATTTCTTCTTTTTTGTACTCAGTCTTTAAGGGAACCTTACTTTTTAACCACTTGAGGTTTTTTTGTAACAGCAGTGTGTGTTATGCTACATATTCTTTTTTACATGTCCAATCCGTTTCCCTTCCCATCACGTAAGCCGCTTTGTGGATACTTGCACAGAATTTGCGTTTCAGTTTGCTGAGAGGCCGAAGGAAGAGATGATCTGTGTTTCGTTGAAGGAATGCTTTATTTCCCCCCAGAGGGGCGAGCCTTTCACTGGTTTCAAATATAGAAAAAAAAGCAAAGCCATCGTTCTTGCGCCGTATACAACTTCAGTTTGCTTGGGCAGACTTAAATGTCAGAGCCAGAGTTCTATTTTAAAAACTGTGCTCCAGTGCTGTATTTACAAATAAGTGAAATTCCAAAACTGCGCATGGGGTCTTTCAATTAAACATTTATTTGAACAATTTTTTCATGACAGACCTGCATCTCAATTATTTAGCAGCGTTAAACGATCCCACGTTTGATACGTGGGAGTGCTGAACTGAGCATGTTTCTATTTACATTCTCTACGGAATCTTTAGATCCCCTGTAATTGCCGTCAGTCTTCACGAACTTTGTAGTATGACAGTGATGCTTTTTCAGGTTGGATTATTCAAAAGTTGGTGTGCTCTTGTTCATCGATAAATACTGTAGCAGCATGCGTTTTGCATGCTGTAGGAGGTGAATGACATTGGTATGGCTTGCATACTGTTCAGTTTAAATTAATTCTGTATTTCCGAGTAACACCAGGATAATAAAAATATTTTGAATGAAATATACAGTATTTAACTGAAAGTTAAATCATTAGTTATGTCTTGTTGTCATCATTTGCAATAATGAGTTAAAGTTGATAAGCTCTCGGCTCCTCTTATGATACTTTGAATTCCACATGCTCTACGAACAAAACAGCAGTGGTTTTAGGTGGTGCAGAACATTGGAACATACTTATTAATTGAAAGGTAAATTGGATCTGATGGAGCTCCGAATTTGAAACCATTAGAATTAAAATCTACATGAGATTCGCATCACAACAGTGAGAACCATTGTATTGCTAGTGGTTTAAAGATGGAAGCAGATGCATTAAACAAGAATGTATGCACTCTTCTGTCTGTGTCAAGTGAATCATTCCCTGTGACCTAACAGCAAGTTTATTTAAAACTGTTAGTACAGTCGCTGAAAAGTTTCTATCCACAAATTGCTTCCTCTTTGAACTCTGTAATAATATGAGTCCTGGACTCTTTTGTCTTGTTTTCAGACCACGAACTTCCTTTGGCCAGCAATGAGGTGAGAGCATGTGGAAACAGGCCAGCGCAGACTGGCGTTGTCCGCAGATAGATGGAAATGAGCACAAAATGTGTTCATAGGCTGACATGCACACATTCGTACTTCTTTGTCCTCTCAGCAGGATTAATTAGGTTGATGATGATTCCCTGCATTTGTTCAGCGCTTTTCATCTCGATGGTTCTCAAGGAAGGGAACCCCAATAAAAACCACTACAGAAGTGCAGCATCCGCCTGCCCACCTGGCTGATATATGGCATTCTGCATTCAGCATCCGCTCTGAACAGCAGATGACATGGAGAACTGAGTCGTTTCTTCACCTCTTGAATTAAGGGGCAACTTTATGGAGGCCAGACGGCGCACAACCAGAGAGGAATTTAGCCAGCACACCGGGGTTATTAGCAGACCCTGTATGATGCTCTGTAGAATGCTGTATCTCAGAATGTTTCCTACAGTATTACATAAAAACAGGCCCTGCCTATCTTTAACTCCACCCAAGTGCACTCTGTACTGACATTTAATTTTATATTAAGATTAAATGCAGATTGTTCATCCCTGCAATTTACTGGTTTCATAGCAAACTAAACCAAGAAATTCCCTCAGGGACTGCATACTAACAACTATGTTAAGGATATGGCATAAAAAGCTTTCTCACTTCGAGCTTTAGCTACTGAACTAAATTGCAGGCATTATCTGTCAGTCTATTGATCTGTCTCCATCCATATATATTCATCTGAGAGATACTAGATTATGGACGGAGGTTCTTTAATGAGCATTTTCACGTGCAGTAAATCAGAAATCACTCCTATAGAACTGTGAAATTCTGTCATGCGCAGATAAATGTAAAATGTTTAGGCATCTGTTTGCCGTAACAAATTCATTCCCTGGCACTCTGTTTTGTCCTGTGTCTCAAAGCACTTCTGATTGGGCCGCCCGCATCTATCATCCAAGCGATAACAGAATTAAAGCACATCTCTCCCAGCCACTTTGATCTCACAGCGTTTTTATTAAACTGAGAGTGAGCTGGAATGGAACCAGAAAGCTCAAAACTACAGGGATAAACTTGATCCCAAACATACTGTTCTGGTTCCAAAGTCAAGGAAATGCAGCTTTGAGTCAAGAGTTGGTAGCTTTAAATATAAGAAATGTTTTCTGTGCATTGTTATACAGGCATTGTTTCTCTTTGAAATGCTTTTAGTTAATCTGTTTTTTGGACTGAAGCAAGGGGAGTTTGTCAGCAAAGTCTTGGAAATAAAATGCTTACTTGCACATAATCATGGAGGCATATTATGCATTTCATGTTATTTTAATTGGATTTAAAGATTCATGCTAGAGTTTACTAACTTTGCTCATCTTATATTCAGTAACCACAAAATATATCTGGCTTTAGATCTTTTTCACTTTTCACATTTTTCAAATTAGAGGAATGGATTTCTAATCATTAAAAGGATTGTTTAGTTTGCAGGATTTTCTGTTGTGTTTTAATAAAATTCATCAGCAAGTGGAAAGTAGGCTGATGCATATATTTAAGGTGTGATTTAACAACATCTTTATATTTGCTGTTCATTGGTGGTTTTCTGTTTCTGCTTTTATTATAAACTGTAGTTGCACACAGAAGAAAATTCATCTTACATGCATGAACTTGTCACTCATTTATCTAGAAGGGCAAGGTGGACCTCTAGTGGAACAGACAAGGAAAGAAACAGTTTTTTCCAAATGTATGTGAGGCACCCACTCAATTAACGAACCATTATACATCAGGAAATAAACCTAGTGTTTGAGGAGGGTAATGTGAATTTTAATTATTTTGTTATATGAAGATACATTGCATGTATATTTTCAAGTTAAAGAAAACGCATACCGAGGATTGCAAACACAGGTACCAAAATATATTAGAAAGGAATATTGCAGTGTAGGTCAAAAATAAGTTAAGCACTCTTATGGTAAAAACTGTCAAGGATAAAATGAAATATCTTTGAGACAATTCATGGAAACCTCTTGAAAATGGAAGGGAAATGGCTGATGTACTGCACGAGTTTGTCACTCTGGTGTTCACGAAGGAAGAAGTCAATCACATAACTCAGGCAGCGGAAGAAAAACATTCGGTATGTAGCGTCGGCATAGAAGACACTGATGTTTTTTGGGTATGAGAAACATTCAAGAAATAATTAATTCCCAAATCATGATGGTATCTCTTATTTCCTTGAGTACCGCTGGGAAGATGTTATTCAGAAGCTATTGATGTGACTCTTCCACTTCAGCCCCTAAAGACTGGGGAGTTACTCTGGAAAATTGCCAGTGCTCATCCATAAGACGGGTGGGAAAAAATGAACCAAGAAGTTGTAGATCAACAAGCCTAACCTCTCTTACTTTAATGGGTATAGAAACAATTATTAGAATTATGCTAGACAAAATCAAAGGATTGTTGGAGTATGGAACAAGCTACTGTGCTTAGTCATTTTGTCAAAGTTGAAACCATGGCTTCTTTTAAAAACTGTCTGGGTGAGATCAGTGCTTCAATTAGCTACTAACTCCCAGACAAGCTACATGGGCTGAAGGGCCTATTCTCATTTGTTACATTTTTTCTAAGACTTCTTATGGGGCTTAAGAGTACCTTAATCAGGAGCCTTTCTAAAAATATCAAGTATAAGATTGCATGTTTGCCGTGTGTACCCATTACAGCTGTTTAAAGAACTCTTATACTAGAGAACCTAACTCAAGAGATGGACAAGTGTGAAGGTCTGAGGTCACAGTATTTGCCTCTTTGTACTAGAATCTGATAGAGAAAAGTAAGTATAGATGTATCATTGCAAAGTATCTGAATAACATCACTGTTTCCCATAAGGTGCATCAGCCAGCTTTGTAGGGTATCTTTTTAGAACAAAGGCTGTGTTAAAAACATATCGCTTGATTATCTCTACGCAGTTTTCAATTATTTCTTCTTCCTGCAGGCAAAACGTGCAGTCCAGAGGGGGGCGACAGCTGTCATCTTTGATGTCTCTGAAAACCCTGATGCGATTGATCAGGTATGACTTGTACGTTAGTTGTACTGTAGCAAAGCATCCATTCAAGAGGTACAAAAGTACTTGTACCTTTTTAGACGGTTTTGAAAGTAAGCCCATGGTCCAGAAGGGTATTTCTTTTTGTTGAAGTGTGCTAGCTAATATTTGATGGTGTATATTATAGCTTTTCAGCCCCCAGTGCTTGTTAATTATAGCTTTCAAAGCATTAAGCATGGTGTTTGTTTCTATTTTAAAACAGCTTTGGAATAAGGTTAGAAATTAACATGAGCTCTGTTCTAGGTGCTGTATTTCGCATCCTCACTCCATTATGTGTATATCTGGAACACATACATGTGTATATCTGAGAACAGTGTACACTTTTTTGTTACATGACGGGCTGTTGGAGTGATAACAGGCTTTCCTTGCCATGTTGTCTAAGCCAATACCCTGGCTTCTTTCAAAAAATGTCTGGATGAGGTCTATCGACCAGTTGCCCAGTAGCCAACAAATGTGCTAAATGGCTGCTTTCTTTTTTTCCTTATTTTTTATGCTCCTGTTTGAATACAGTTAAAACCTTATATAAATATTGCTATTGTCCATTTACTGCAAAGAGAGAGGTCTTACTTTGTTTTTACTTCCCGTTGAAAATCTGTACATTGACACAATAACCAGAGGGATTCCTTTGAGGACATACACCAGTTATTTAAAGGGAACTAGGCAAAATTATCTTCTCTTTCACAGATTTGGTTCTGTAAGTCCTGCGGGTAGGCTTGGCTGCTTCTTGGGTGCATTTTTGCTTCAGCTCTAATTTGGGAATGAATAACAAACCTAAAAATGGATGGCCTGGCTATACAATTACTAAATGTCCTTGACAAGTTAATTGGGCTCTTTGTGGGGCAGAAATTGTTCACTCGTAGCACACAACATTTTCTTAGTACCAGATAGAAAATCCTAATAGAATGATATGTTCTGAAGTGTTGTTTTATTATAGTGCTGTGATCTGCTTTTATTTAAGTACTTATTAGATAACTTATTTAAGGCAATTTATTTATGTGGCAAAGTTTCATCTGCTATAACAGGCTAGGAATTTTGACTTGTCCTTGTTATGGGCACGATAAAGGATTATTGTTTCAACCACATAAAACAATATAAAAAGTACAGTTCTCAGTTTCTTTTACTGCTTTACATTGGCGTTAAATTTTCCGAAACCTATAGTTGATGTAAATTCAAAACGACATGTCTGGGTGTTGAAGGAGAAAAGAAGAAAAGACAAGCGATGGAAAGAGTGCTAATTAAAATCCCTGAACAAAATTGGGAGAAACATTAATAAAAGATTTATATCTCCATAGCCTGCACTCCAATCTTAACACAAACAGGAACATACAATTAACTGTCTGAGACTTGTGTTTGAAGTCTTTCAGGAAGGAGGTTTCTTTTTTTGCTTTCAGTAAAGGAATTCAGTTTTCTTAAATTCCTTGGGATATGTATCGCTTCAGCAAAGCAGACATAGGGCACAGCAGTACTAGAACCTTAGGGACAAAACAGTAGAATTGCAAAAAAATATGTATTTTGGTTGGAAACTAGCTATTGGGGAGAAACAGCTCTCCGGATCTTTTCTTTTCAAGTTGTAGATTTTGTAGCATTAGATAAGAAAGCAAGAGCAGAGCTTGATCTGTCTTTATTTTTTTTTCAATTTCTATACTGAATGCTGTTTACATTCAGACTTTACGTTCCCAGCTGTTCTTATCACATAGGTCACATTACTGAATGCTGGGCCTAGCATCTTAGGTCTTAAAAATATGTATTAGAAAATGAGATTTACTACACTGAGTATTCTGATTATTTTAGCAGTGGAGACTGGAGAATGAACTAATTTTCTGTTTGAAAATCTGTCTGATTTCCAGGAAGCTATTTTCCAGTATCTGATGGTTTAAAACATACAGTACCAAGCTTTTAAGACGTAACACTTTAACTACAGTGCTGTGAGTCATCTTGAGGAAGATGGCACACCGGGACACAAAATGCATTTCTGGGACGTCCGTTGACCCGGATTTCAAATACACTGGAACAAACAACACAAGTTCTGGAGGCAGCAATGTCCTAACTATGTTGGGAACTAAAGCAACACAAGCTTTATATAGAACATAGAATAGATGACTATAGAGTTTAGATGACAACAGAGTAAGAGACATTGAGCTTTCTGTGTCCCGTAATTTTGACTTCTGTGGTTCTTTCGCCTCTAGCTCAATCAAGGCTCAGAGGATCCTCTCAAGAGGCCTGTTGTATACGTGAAGGGTGCCGACGCTGTAAAGCTGATGAACATTGTGAATAAACAGAAGGTGGCTCGAGCAAGGATCCAACACAGACCACCCCGGGTAAGAGGGGAGCTCCGCACCGTTTTTTTTTTAAACAGTGAATGTGATCTTTAGAAGGGTTTTGCTCTTTGTCTCTTTAACAAAAACTTGGACTGAGTTTTAAGCTAAAGCCTTCTCGTTCCCTGAGGCCAGTTTCCTGTCTTTGAGACTTTGATACTAGTGAATCCTAATGCATCCAATTCGACTGCATGCTTGGCCTGTGACAAGCACCAAATTTGCCACTTCCTTGATAACACAGTGCATTTCACTTTGTGGCTTTTTAAAAATAAGTCTGATGCATTTACCCCGTGAGCTACAGACTGTTCAATTCCTCACTGCCTATGATTTCTGATAGGTGATTTAGCTGGGTGACTGTCTTCGTCAGATCACATATGTGAACAAGCTGGACTGGCCTACCCAGTAATTGAGCATCATTTTTCACTTGTAATGAATTTGTACATTTACACATTCTGTCTCGCCACAATAATTGATTCAGTTTCTGCTGCAGTTTACTTGTTGCTACTTGTTGCACTTTATTAACCAAGAGCACTGCAAGGAGATATGGTTTTGTTATTTTTGACTTTATTTTTATTATTTTATAATACACCACATTTAATTTAGTAGGCTTGATGTCTACTTTATGCTTTCTGAAATGACACTGTGAGTTACCAGGCTTATTCTGCTTTTTCTTCTTAATTCATTCCTGTCTGGGTAGTTCCTTTATTTTGCTTTACCACAGTTTTGTTGGCCCTGTGCTTGATTGATAAGCGCAGAAGATCAAAGGAATAGTTTTGCAAGGTAGTGGTTTGGAACGTACTGAGATTAGCTGCTGAGATTAGCTGCGGGCAAGAGACTTCATACACAGCCTTTGTTGTGAGTGAAAGAGACAAAAAAAAAAGAGGAACTCTCAAACTAGAGATGTTTTTATTGTTATTGTGGGGTATAAAATCCTCACTGTTTCTGAGCCATTGTAGTAAGGTGATATAGCAGTAACCACCTGAAAATAAGGAAGTTTAAAAAACCTTGAGGTGACCTCAGTGTGGACTGACATAAGAAACAGCAGTAAATAATGGATTTTGTTGTAAAAATGCAGCACTAGGATAAGATGTCCCACAATTTCTTGAACAAAAATATATAGGTGTTGATCTTCACCCTCCATATTTTTATTTCATGGCAAAGTTACCAGTGTTTTTCAGTCATTTTTCAAATTATTCTGAGATTTCAAAGCTTTTTCTGCTGTGAACAAATTCATTGGATTCCCAGGAACAATCTTCTTTTGAAGAGAAGAGATTGCTAATTACAAGGGGACAATTTCAAGTCTCAAGCTACTCGCTGGCTCGCTGAACTTCAGTTAATATCCGATTTAATCTTGATCCTGTAAGATAAACAGATTTAATTTTACAACACAAACATTACTGTAGAGTTGAAGTGGCATTAGTGCTTTGATCACTGCTGCTGTACACACAGACACATAACTACGAATCACAGTCAGGACCTCACACGAAGCAGCATTGGGGTCTTCATCTAACATCTGCATTCAGATGGAATTGGATTGAACTTTAAGATGATTTTAAAATTCAAGAGATTCACTTGGGAGCAAACTCAAACTTAAATTAAGATGCTTTGAATGTCAAGCTGTTGTTTATGGTCAGTCACAGTGTATTCTGATATGGTTTTGTTTTAATTTTTCGAAACCTTAAGATTACATTTGATGTTTCTGTGTTTTAATACATATTTCATATTTTGCTTTGTTTATAACACCAGGAAGGTGTTTTTTTTTCTAACATGTATAAATACTTCTATAACTGGATTAGTCAAAATGTCAGTTATTTCTAATGTACACTTGTGTTCAGCATAATAAAAGATGTCGTATTGACAGCCTTTATTTTGTCTGTCTCAACAGCAGCCAACAGAGTATTTTGATATGGGGATTTTTCTTGCCTTCTTTGTGGTGGTGTCCTTAGTGTGCCTTGTCCTCCTCATTAAGATTAAATTAAAGCAACGAAGAAGTCAGGTAAGCGCTCTTGAAAGTTTGCAGAAACTGTTGTACTCTTTCCGTATGCCTTTCCTGCTGGTGTTTGTTCTTGTAAAGCCAAGAAACGATTCATTTCAAGTGCATTTTTCATCCATTGATGGAAACAGAATATGATAAAAATACAGAACATTCCAGAATTTGGGCACAGTGTTCTTTAAAAAAACATGCTTTGTTTCTCATAATGCTTCCCCTGAAGCAGTAAATGATGGCATCGTAATCATGTTTCACACCTTGAGAAATGAAGGTGTGCAGGAATAATTAGAACGGACTGTACGTGCATCTATCTGTGTCCTCCATGTTGCAATCGCTGTGCTAAATTAGCTACACAAGCGTGTGTCTGCACAGTAATGTTATATTGCTTGACACGCAGCCGGTTACAGGCAGTTCTCTTGATCATGAGCCAGATTATGAACAGTCGTTAACACAGACACTTATCTTCTGTCCATTAACTTTCACACTGTTGCGCCATTCAGTAAGATTGAATGATTAAATAAAACAAGAAGATCAGACAGCTTTGTACAAATGTTGGTTTGGCTAGTTTGCAAAGAGTTTAAGGTGTTGGTTTCTCTAGATCATGAGTTTATTAGTTTGATCCTGAGGACTTTCACACCTCGTTGCTCCAGGTGATCTTTCTGTTACCTTAATTGACCTAATAACAGGATTCATTAAACATTTTTAGTTGCTTTCAGTTCTTGAACGTGTTTTAATTATTATGTTTCAGAAGTAAAATTAGTTTTTCACATTTTTAAGTAGAAAGAGGTTCCAACCAAGCAAATTATTTGGATTGGGTTCAATTAAGTAAAGAGCACAGCTGGAATGCAGTCCCGCTCTCCTGATAAGGGACCAGGGAAACCCTAGTATAGAGTCACTTGTACTGTTCTCGTAAATTGCCTTAATTATAAAATTATAGTTCAGGACCAGCATCTAATTACCATGTTCTCTTTTGCTATTTTACTTGACACCAGAGCTCTATGAACAGGATGGCCATCCAAGCACTTGAGAAGATGGAAACACGAAAATTCAAGTCGAAAGGCAAAGGTCTTCGAGAAGGCAGCTGTGGCACATCAGACTCGCTGAGCAGCAGCTCCACCTCTGATTGTGCTATCTGTCTGGAGAAGTACATTGACGGAGAGGTAAGGGTGAGAAGGATTTTCCACTTTAACAGTGCCACAAGCACCCACAATTGCTCCCGATTACACATTTCAGCTTTCTTCATCATGTGTGGTGGTTTAGCCCCTTTGAAAAATAGAGCTTTTATCAACTTACCCATTAGGTTCTGAGCTAAATGACAAATACAGGCAGGGACGACTACTGTTTTCATGTTTTGTCATTAAAAGTCTTATTTGAAACTTTTACATTTAATTTCTATTTATAGAGCACTTTTCATTCCAAAGAATTCAAAGTGCTTTATGTAGAAATTGGGACCCAGTTCGTCAACAAGCAGCCCCCATAAGGGGGATACTTGGCAGCCATTATGCACCAATAGCTCCCCTGCACTACCACTGATGAAGTTTGCCAGATTGTACAGTCCTAGAGTGGACTTTGGCTAGGACAAATCTACACTAAATTAAACTACACTAAATTGACATTGCCACTTTGGTGATCAAGTAACCAAGACATCAGTTATATATGGCACTCCACCTACTAATACTTCAACTAATACTGGTCAGCAGTAACCTGGTTTTCCTTGGAGGTCACCCATCCCACTACTGACCAAGCCCAGACTTGCTTAGCATCGTAAGATTTGATGGAATCAGGCTACAAGGTGTTAATACTGCTGCCAGCCTTCCTACAAGAAAACTACCTGTGACTTCTACATTGTTGGTCATTCTTCTACTCAATATGTTTTGAGAGCTTTGACCTTGTAAAAATGGGACTTAACCCACTTACTTCTGCCTGTGTTCGGTTACTGTATATGTACCCCTGTGGTGCATTCAGCATCTCGTCTACTGAAGCAGATAGGTTACATCTACAACTGTAATGATCCATGACTTGAATACAGCGTTGTGTGGTGAGCTGAAATATTCAAAGGGCAGGCCCTGGCCCAGCAGAGTTGTTTTTGCGTGGTTTTGTGTTGACATTTGGGCAGAAAAAGGTTAAGAAAAACAGTGTGAACAAAGGAAGGCACATTTGACTGGAAGGAGGAAGTGGTAAAATAAAAGGATGAATAGCACCAAAGAGATTAAAGAAAATGAAATGAAACGCAGAACAAAAGCACAGGAAGATCTGATGACTCATCCTGTGGTTTTTTTTATGAGTTTATAAAACACTGAGGCCAAGAACTTAATGCTCGGTTGCTGTTCTGTGAAGCCTGGGAGTTGTCCTTGTTGCCTTCCTATCAGCAGCTCAAAGGACATCACTTCCATCCCAGAGCACGTTTCAGGGTGACCAGATCTCTCCCCCCCTTCTCAGACGGATTAAGAAGGGTCACAGGTTCACATGTGCCTAAGACAACCCAATAAGCTTGTCATCTTATATTGTTCACCTGTCAGTCATAGGTTTTGGTGAGTATGCTTTCCTGCCGCATGCTTGACTCTGCTTTCACGTTGGTAGTCACTCTTGATTAACATGGCCCAACACCTATGAAATTTAATAAGACTTTCTATCAGGCAGGTTCGTTTGACAGTGCAGCAAACGTTTGGATGTTTCACGGGTGTAGCATGCATGATCAAAGCAAAAACCTTTTTGTTTTTTTTTCCTTTCACTGGGAGAGCTCCGAAAGCTAAACCCATTGTTCTATACTACTTTACTGCCCTCTACAGGGCACCTGAGTGTACACTTTCCATCATGTTCCCAATAAAACAGTTACACGGCGAATACGATTCTTCAGACCTCCAGTCTTGCTCAGTGGCTGGCCTGAGGCTCTGGAGACAGATTTCCATCAGCATCCCTAGTTAGAACAATGCCCACATGTCAGTCTGATTGATTTGTTGGGACTGGTGGAGTGTGGATTCCAGTCCCAAAACATCTTTGCTCTCATCGCAGCCACTTCTGAAAACAGTCCCACCAGGAGGATGGGATTAGACTGCAGCTGTTTTTAAAGTCTTGTGAAACACATGCCACACCCTGTTCTCAAAGAGATCCAGTCAGTCATCTGTGGGGTTTCTTAATGTGTTTAGTGGGTTTTACTGTGTAAGATCACAATGTTAATTGTTTCAAAGCTGACCGTGATCCATTCCATTATACTTAAAGTGTCTGCTTTAACTTTCCATAATGCTTTAACTTGCATTGAAAAACCAAAAGCATCCCAGATCTGCAGCCTTTTCTGTAGTTTGACAGACTGTTTTCATTTGTTGAGATTACTCCCAGCACCTTTGCATTTATTTTAATATAAACAATTGAGATTTAATTTCATCTTATGTTCATAATGTACAATCTTCAATGCATCACAAGCTTTCATCATCTGAGGCAGTTTTTTTAGGGTATTTATTTGATAGAAATACTTCTGCTCCTTATGTAGTAGACATCAATGTGGACCTTTGTCATACTGTGTGTGGCCCTTCTTCCAGACGTTACACAAAAATGCTCATTTCTGGTGAGGAACATGTCTATCAAGAGCCTAGTTTGAAAGCACAGAAAACACTGCGGCTCTCCATCCTTGAATTGAAACCAGGAAATCTGTACGCATTTACACAAGTTCCATTTTTATAATTACAGTACAAGAAAAATGAATATACTGTATATATACTTCAATATAAATGAACAAAGAAGGGATGTAAATAGAAGCCATGAATTGTGGGTGTGGAAGCAAAGAAAAAAATATGTTCTGATGTTTGTTTGGGCTTTGTGACATGAAAGCTCAAAATGTGAATGTCTTAGCTTTTAATTAATCCGAAAGCCACACACAATTGTGCAAGAGTGTGTGTATATATATACATTTTGTTAAAATGGAAAGCTGTTTCAAAAGAGGAATGAAAAAGAAAGCAGGCTCAAAGCAAGTAACCATGGAGGATTTTCCCTCTAATCTATGTTTATAAAATAAAAATGTTAACAATATATAGTGAACATGAAGGCTTCTCCCTCAGGGCTGAAATCCTATGTTTTTGGTGAAATATTAGCTTCCATAGGTTGTCTGATTTGTGTCTGGAACCTAGATGCTCATCTCAGATACTGCATTTACTGCCTTTGGTCCCTTTGCCATTTACATCTAATTCTGCATCTTTAATGCCAAGCATTTCCAGTTCCATTTTGAAAAATATTTACAGCCGTCCTAAATAGATAAGCTCCTAAACAAAGACCAACTGTAATAACAATAAGCCAGTTTGTACCGTTGCTGGATTGAATTTTGGAAATGGGTAGCAAAGAGATAGAGAGGCTGAGCTATGATTTTCTGTTAGCTACAGTAGCAAAGTGTATGAATCACCCTGCAAGTTTCTGGGGTACATTTTTATTAACTGAAGTTGGTGTACAACAATTCAGATTGGGAAGGGTACAGAGTGAAACACTTGGACCAGGTTGTATTGCCTTCAGTTGAAAGAGATGTGCAGAGCTCAGAAGTAGCCCGTGGAGGATTACTTGGCAGGTGGAAACAATTTTGCTTTATTCCCAAGCTCTCCTCTAATTTAAGAAATGGCAGATGGTTTGATATTCCTTGCCAGCCTTTTCAAACCATAACCATGCTGTGAAATGAGCTGGAATGTTCAAGACCTGTTTTCTTAAGAAAGTAATGGGTATTCTTGATGTGCTGCTTTTGCCTCTAGTGTAGCGTAATTGCTGCGCTGTGCTCATTACATGTTAAAGTGTTTCTGGTTTTTGTGGCAAAGCGTACGGGTTTTGGTAGCTGTGAAAACCAGTTCTATAGACTGAGCGGTGAGCTAAGTTTAAGAGGTTTATCTGCCGTTTTCTGTTGAAGTAAACAGTTTTCCCTGGAAAATACCGATTCTCAGAATGACAGCAGACATCTCTTCAATTTTGCAGGAACTGCGCGTGATTCCATGTGCTCACAGATTTCATAAGAAATGTGTGGACCCTTGGCTGCTTCAGCATCATACCTGCCCCCACTGCAGACATAATATAATTGGTGAGTTTGTCCCCCCAAAAAATATATTTGTGAGTTTGTTCCATAGTTGATTTTTGGGCAGCGATGGCAATAAGCTAAATCGCTTTTTGCAACCAGGCTTGGGAAGTCTTAATGCGGTGCCATCCATTTCTCCTTTCTCCTTTTGCAGAACAAAAAAAGGGAAACCCTGGACCTATCTGCATGGAACCTGGAAACCCAGCCCACGGTCGACAGCAGAGAGTCGTTCTTCCTGTGCATTACCCGGGGCGAGTGCACAGAGCCGGCCAAGTGACTGCGTACCCCACTCGGACCAGCATCGACCCCCACGGCAACCCCATTACCGTTCTGACTGTGGAGCAGCACGGCGACCAGAATCTTTATCCGGCCCAATCCTCTGCTTTCATCCAAAGCTACCCTCCCCTCCACCTGGACCACCCGTTGAACCCCCACCACTGTAGCATGGAGCACCGGGCTGCGCCGTACCCCCAGCCTCATGCTTTCAAGCGGCCCAAGTTCAACGGGCGCAGCTTTTCCCGGGCCTCCTGTTTTTCTCAGTACGAGACCATGTACCAGCACTACTTCTTCCAGGGCCTGACCTACCCTCAGCCTGAGGGCCACCCAGGAAGTGGGCCCCAAAAAGGTCACAGCCGGGCCTTCCAACAAGGCATGCTGTACCCCACGGTGGTCCACATGGCTCCCACCTCCTCCTCCTCGCGCCTCGGCGAGAGCGGAAGCTCGTCCAGCTTCAGCTGTTACCATGGCCACCGCTCGGTGTGCAGCGGGTACCTGGCGGACTGTCCGGGCAGTGACAGCAGCAGCAGCAGCTCGGGCCAGTGCCACTGCTCCTCCAGCGACTCCATGCTGGACTGCACCGAGGTGAGCAATCAGGGAGTCTATGGGAGCTGTTCCACTTTCCGGAGCTCCCTGAGCAGTGACTATGACCCTTACGTGTACCGAAGCAAAAGCCCTTGTCGAGGGGCAGCGGGAGAGGCTGGACCTAGCTTCCTTCCCGCCCCTCAGGACGAGTCTCCTGCCTCTTCTGGCCAAGACTGCCTCCAGCCCCCTGCCGGGGCTTCCTTCATCTCAGGGGACCAGCTATCCAGCTGTAGCCTGGAGCCGAACTATAGCAGTCACTCTTCACTGGAACCCAGGGAAACCAATACCACTACCTCAGCCGGGGCCCCAGAGGGCGCTGGACCAGAACTCCTGGGCTGGAATAAAGTGGCGGAGGAAAGGGATCAGGGGGCGGCCTACAGCTGCTGTTTTGAGATTCCGCCCTCAGCGTCTGAGAGCAAAGGTCAGGAGGTGGGTGGAGCCACATTTCTGGGAACAGCCCGCTGTATGCAGGGGGTGGAGCCTAGGACCCCTTTAGGATCCACCCCTCAGAACTTGTTCAGTGTTAACACGGACCACTTGTGCCCAGCGGAGCAGGGGAACTACGAAGGACTGCCTTGCTGTTTTTACGAGGAGACGAATGCTCGCCGGAGCAACGGGGGCTGCTATGCCGAGGACTATGCGGTGAATGTACAGTACGCGCGGACTGATGCCGACCCGCAGGCGTTGCAGAGGTGCTGTGAACTCGGTCAGCGGATACCAATCATCACTGAGGACATGGATTGTGAGCTGGGTTTGGCCCCAGGGCCTCAGATGGGCTTGCTTTCCGCAAACCTACCTGAGGAAGGGAGAAGCAGGGCTGGGGACCGGGAAGAGTCTAATGAACTGTACGTGCCCTCTGCGCAGTTTGGGGGTCAGATATTCCCCCATGAGGAGGAAACCAGGGCTCTTTTCCGCAACAGTTGCTCCAGTTTCCACAAAGCACAGGGAAACTGCAAAGCTGGAGGTGAGAGTTTTAAACAGGCTGCTTGTCCATTGTTTTGGCCTGAATTTGCCACACAGATTTTTCTGCTGAGCCCTTACTTTTGTATGTTTATGCATCCTAGTAAGTATTGTCAGAATGTATTTTCGGCTGATAAAGTCCAGACTAGATAATGCCAGTGCCTGAAAAGAATATTACCACTGATTTTAAACCGCAACAAAAAAATAACAGCAGATATCTGCTACAGGCCTGTATTTTGCCACAGCTATGTGTGGAATGCCAAATATTGACATATGGTAGAGGGCACAGTATGAAAGACTATATATGTGCTGCCGCACTGTTCTTTTAAGTTTTGTTTTCTAAAGTCAGTCCCAAAGAAAATGTTTTTTTAAGTTTGTGTTTAAGAAGGGATCTCGTTTTTGTTTTTGTCAGTACTGACTGCATTGAAAAGCATTGAAATGTCTGAAGGTGACGTAGTGTTCCTACTTTTGTTAAGCTAAATCTGAAAATAAGCAGTTAAAACAGTTCCACACTTTCCTTCTGCAAAGGAAAGAGTGGAACTTTTGATTATAGTCTCTGACCACTTCATAGGTTTTTGTAAGGAAATGCATATCAAAAGGACAGACATCTGAACGGGAGTTTTGCAAATTATATTGATTCAGCTCGATAGATTATATAGTTTAAATAGCATCTCCCTAAAATTCAGCATCACTCATCTCCTTTACTTCTCATGTGAACTGATTTGTCACTAACAATGTTTTTTATTTTTTACCCGTAGGGTCAGGACCATCCCATGATTTGGAAAAAGAAAGCGTGGCAGACCCCAGCCTGTGAGGTTTTTAAGTTCGGTTATACGGGAAGTTTTTTTATTCTTTAAATTAATATTAAGACTCCAGTTTGTGTAAGACTTTTTGAGGGTTTTTATTTTTGTTATATATATAAATATATATATATTTTTTAGCTTTGACAAACACAAAAAGTGGTAATATGGAGAAATGTTAAAATCTTAATTTCCTTTAACCCCAGACTGTCGTGCTGTTCTTGTTTGTTTCGCTTTGTGTTCCGTTGTGGGTTATAGGAGAAGCAGTCTAATGGATGTGCTCTACTTGGTGTGTGAAAACCAGGCCACACCAGGACCCTAATCTTTCGAACCCTGCTCTCCAGAGTTTCCACCCTACTACTTGACTCAGGGTTACTGCTGCCTTAGTAGCAAGCCAGCATTTAATTAATGTTCGCTCATTGTTGTGAATCAGTGGAGCTTGGTTTTAGCACTGTAGGTATAGAATTAACAAAAAACAACTCTGATGGGTAAAACCGTTGAGAAAGGTTGTTTCAGTAATATGACAAGGGAAAGACTGTTTTCTGTGAGCCTAATATTTACAGTCGGCAAAGGACTGGTGTTCCATCTGTGTTTCCTACAAGTGTCATTCTGAGCTTTACACAGCCTTTTTTTTCCTGAGGCAGGGATATCAACCCTACACCTCCTTTTCAGTCAGTTTTCTTCAGGTGTAATGTATAGGGTCGAGAAACTAGTTTTATTTCAGTGTGTCGGGGAAAGGCCAAAGCAAGGTAGTTAACCAAGATAGTAATGGAAGATTAATTAAATCCTCAAAAAGTGGCATTTAAAAAATATCCATCTGGTATCGTTCAATATGTTGTCAGCTTATGCCTTGTTTGTTTTACAGACTTTTTAATACTGTTTCTATGAAATGTATCCATGCAGCTGAGAGACTACCAGTTCAAGAACCCTATTTATACGTGACATTTTAACTCAATGCTGTAATTTTTGAACACTAAAAGACTAATCTTGCCTTTTCTTAGAGATCTACACTGCAAAAATTGCATTTGTGAGGGTACTTGAGGCACTATTTAATTTTTTATTTGTAGCACTTAAAAAGGATTGTATAAAGAAAAGCTTGGTGTACAAAATTTGTAATATTTTTAATTTTTTAATATAATTATTTTCTCCGTCATTACCATTTTACAATGTTTTAAAAGGCTAGAAAATCAATCTGTGTATATTTCTGTATATGTATAGCAGCACATTTCATTTATGGAAATATGTTCTCGGAATATTTATTTACTAATATATTTATCTTTAAGCCATGTCTTATGTTGAGAGTGTATGAACGCTATTGAAATCTTTTTTTTTTGAGAAATCACTAACATGAGACTTTGTAAATACATGATAATTGCACACAAAGATTAAATATTCTCTGACCAAAAAACGATTTTTAAATTTTAGTACTATACAGTTTTGTAACAAAGTGTACAAAGGCCCTGTAAAAATACAGTTTTATTCAAGTAAAGCTGCGTGGAGTCCTTCTTTCCAACCTTCTGTGTTATGTTCTAGGATTAGTTGCATAGTTTGGGTAAGAGTAGGTCCATCCATTGATTTTGATTGATCTGCTGTATCCAATACAAGATAGCTGGAGAGCTGGAGCCTCATTTCTACTGTATGTGTAAATACAAAACTTGCTGTTGGAATCACAGCTGAGCTGCAGTTGTGAACCAGATATTCTTAACCACCAGCTGACAAGCAGTCACACCTTTTTCAACACAGTTAAGACGGAGAAACTGGTGCATCCTCTTCTCTTCATTTCAACACAGGGCATCGACAACGCTACTTTAAAAAGCTTACAGTCCTGATTAAAGGGGTTAGGTTTGCACTGCAAAAAACATGGACATTGTTGACTTTCCTGTGCCTTTCTTGTTATGTCTATCGTTTTAGTTCATTTAGTTATGTATATGTATGAAACACAGTTCATACCATAGTTTTTTTGTGATATATTCACTGCGGTCTCACTAAAACCAAAATCCAATTTGTTCCTTTTGTTTGCAATAGGTCGCCAGTTTCCATTTGTAACCACAGGGTGGCAGTCTTTCATCGTGAAAGGGTTTTCATTCCTAATACATTCTTTTAATGCAGCTTTGGATTTACTGTATAATAGTTAAGGTTTTAATCTTCTGATAGTAAGAAGAGAGGAAGCAAGTTACTGTCGTCACAATTTCAAGAAAGAACAGAACTGATTTTTAAGTATCCTTTTTTCTTACATTTCAGTTAAATTTTATTTTAGTTTTTAAAGTCAAATAGCCCATCAAGAGGCATAACCGTGTCTTACATTTCCAGATTTATGTCAAATTCATGTCTGTCAGGTAAGATATCTAAGGAGAATGTCAGCTGAAGTATCTGCCTCAGACCTCTCTTGAAATATCGCATGCTTTCAAAAAGCTAAGCTAGAACCTACTTTTATTGCCTGCACATATTTTTAAGTTGACATAATATAGGCTTTCATCTTTTATGAGCGTGTGCGTTCTTTTCCTTCAATATTCTGTCAGGTCAAATCATCCACAGTGTTATTCATAATTGGTAATAATAACTTAAAGCCTATTAAAACACAAAAAGACTACTTGTGGAGCCTCGCGTGTCATGGTGAGTCCTATCAAGCGTATTAGTTGCCCAGCACCTGGAGATGAAACATGACACAGCTCAACTTGATTTGCTTTCATTTGAATGTGATCTGATAGGAGAGACTGTGCTGGAGGGGTAGTTTTCTGCACAGTGAAGAGAAACCACATGAGCTGTACTGACCTTGAGGTGGACACCAGCACCTGTTCTGATGTAGGTATATAGGTCTTCGGTAGCTTCTGGCTATTAGCTGATCCAAAAAACATCAATATAAAATATATAATTTTTAATTTAATGACAAATTTAGGCTAAAAATGTTATTAGCATGTGTCCAGTAAATCGTGGAGTTATGGAACAAAAAGCAAAGAGTATTTTTAGACATTATTCATATTATTATTATTATTAGATTGTGGGCCTAAAAAAAGAGATATATTTTAATTTAGTGCCAGACCAATATTGTGATTATCTGGTTTATATTAATAGTAGAAAAACTCAGCCAATGTATTCTGTTCCATGTGATTAACATTAGTAATCTCATGATAGAAGATAAACCTGTTTTGGGTGTCTTTCATTTTGCACAAAAATGCCTTAATTTTGAAGGTGCCCTATGCTTTTACTTTTAGCAGAAAATATTGTTACATTTTTAACTGCAACAGATTTATTTTTGTTTAGAAAAAGTGCTGCATTGTCAGAGATAAGTATACGAGAGATCAAATGAAGTTCCATTTCAAACTCCAGGAAACAATAGACCTCTTGTGCTGGTTTGTGAATTTCTGATCTGACCTAATGACATCCTTTTACCCTTTTGCTCAATGCAGCAGGTTTTGTTTCTGCTTATGCATTGATTGGTCTGAACCTTAGTTTCCCCAGTGACACCAGAGACCAGGTATATCATTCAGTTAATCACACTGTGTTTCATTCCTGCACAGAAAGGCACTGCTGTCTACTGCCTGAGACTTTGCTCTTGGCCTTCTTGGTGGAGAATAGAAGAGTGAGTGTTTCTCTCTGTCCCAGGAGGAAAGTTATTGTACCAACTTCCCTTGCAGAAGGAAACAAAGGTCTCACAGTTCTCAGAATTACAGGTATTCAAGATTACGGTCCAGGAGTCTCAAATTACAAGTTCACAGTAGCAGGCCCCTATGGAGAGCATTGAATGCATGACCATAGTGTCAGTGGCACTATGTTTTCTCTTCTATATCGGATGATACTGCCCTTGGATTCAGTATTGGGGAACTTTTGGAGACTAATTATTGCTCACGGAATCTGGTTCATTCGTAATTGAAGGGATGCTAGCCAGGTGCATCAGGGCTTGAAAATGTGTATATGGGTCACCATCACCCTATGGATGTTAAGTTTCAAGGGTCCCCCCTCTCGAACACACATAGGTTACAAGACCCGAGTCAAGACTGGAGAATTGAAGTGGGTAGCTGCATCAGCATGCCTAGGCTGCAAAGGAACAAGTAAAGGTTTATTCCATGCTGAAAAGAGAAGAAAAGAAACACAACGTTTTCCTTCTCCGGAAAGCCTTTTTCCCAGACACCCAAGGAAGGCTTCACAGCCAGACGTTGTTGCTTTTCTTCGCTTTCGTAAGGGCAGTTGATGGAATGTGTTTTGGCCCTTGGAAAGCTTTTTTTAATGCAATTCACATGCTAGAGTCTAGGGGACATGAATGGATAAATAAGTGTTTCAGTTTACAACATATCCTTCACTAATTTTAGAATTCATGTATGTGCCATATGGCCCACAGTTCTATACTTAAGATAGAGGCTGTGAGTCTGACCCCCCTGCAACTTGGAACACATGGTAGAACAGGAACAATGGATTGTAGATCATTTACAGAAGACTTCAGAGCGATTTATGTCAGACAGATAATTATCAAATGGCAGGAAGCACTGATGTCTGAGTACTTGGGTCTGGGTTGCATTGTGGACTTTGTGTAAGGAGTTTGCATTGTCCTCCAGTGTTATAGGTCATATGGGTCTTCTCAGGTGCTCCTGTTTCTTGGTAGCTGCATTAACTGGCATCTCGAATTTGCTCCTATGCACTAGTGAGGGCACTGTGGTGCACTGACACCCTGTCCAAAATTAAGACTCAAATTTGACCTGGTGTAAACCTCTGCATTACCAGAGGTCCTAAAAGGAATAAATTATTTTGTGATAATGATCGAATTATGAATAATTTGTCCAATACAACTATATACATATTTCCACTTTCTGGAGTTTGGACTCTTAAATGCAAGAGTACAAAGTTGAGGTATAATTCAGGTGGACACATGAAATGAAGCCTGTAGCTATATCTCAGTATTTGTTATTGCAAGAAAGATTTACTTAAATCTGCCCCTAACCTTTGTCAAGGATGGTTGCCACATAGGTAAAATATCTTAAAATTTTAACCAAAATGAGTACATTTGTTGATCTGAGAATACTGGCACTGGTTACCACCACACCTCTTAAAATGTACCAAGATTGCAGCGCCAATTCAAAATAAAAAATTATGACCTTATTAATTTCGCTGAGTCAATGTTTACTTTTAATTTAACTCTGCTTTCAACGAAGTTTGCAATCCATATTGGTGTTGTTGATTCCTAAAATCCCCTCACCATTCTAAAACAGCAAGCAGCAATCCAGTAACTTACGTTTGAAACAGAAAAAAAAAATACAGGAACAAATAAGGAGCTAAACAGTGACTTAAAAAACATGCATATTTATTTTACAAACGGAACACATTAAATAAAACTACAAATTAACTTAGCTCATATAAAAAGATAAGGATAACCCATTCACATCCAAAAAAGAATAATTTACTGCATAAATTAATATTCTCACTATTTTCATATACAATTCATTGGAAAACAAAAACAGTCTTTTAGACCTCTTGTCCAACTCTTGAATCTCTTGTCTTGCTTGAATATACCTTGTGATATTCTGATAAGGTCAAATTGCAGATGCAGGAAGTACATACGGCATTTCTTTTGAGAAATCATGAAATTCCCAAGTTGAATTAACAGAGGAGTTCTGAGGTCTGAGTAGTATTCAGTATGCAAACACAATGTGTACTTATCAGAATAAAACTTGTTCAGTATGCATAAACAGCAGAGGAAATTTTGGCTTGTCAAATAAGGTCACAAAATACAACCACTTTTTTTTTTTTTACAAAAATACACTAGTTTGTTGGCTTAAAACTACATCATACACATACTATCAAATATGATTTCAATGAACAGAGAATTATGTCAAGTTTATGGGATGAATGGATCTGAACAACTGTAACAATGTGTAAAATGTTGCAAAATATATATATCTATATTCTATCTGGTAGTTTTAAGTAGATACATGTTCTTGTGGGGGAAAAAAAAGATCCTAAAGTATGTATCTTTCCCAGAGTGCAAGTACATGCAGACACTATGATTCTGATCTTTTCATGTTTTGAATTTGCATTGAAGAGTACAGCCTCTTCACAAAAGCCAAAGGGTAAAAAGTCTGCGAAAGAGTTTCACGTGAAACATGCAAACACAGTTCTCAACAGGTAATGTTAAAGATATTTAAATGACAGGTAAGTGCATGTTTATATAACTTGCATAATAGTTTCATAACAATGAGTACTGCAGACAACGTTCAGCAGGAGAAATGCCTCAAACCTTTGTTTTCTGAAGTTTTAAGTTTTCATTATTGCTTGTTTTATACTCCAACATCATGGTATTTTCTGATATTTCAGTGCTTTGCCTATTAATTCCATTATTTTTCTATAAATCAATGTTTACTTTTATGCCAAGTATAACTTAAAGGGATGGCACACATTTTGGTGTCTTGTTTGACTTATAATACTTCTTCATCTATTTGACATTCTCAAATCCAACCTATTAAGATGTGAGATGTTGAGTACTGGGACGTGTGGCCCCTTGGAAATTCAAGTTGTGTCAGGGAAGTAGTGGACCACAAGATGTGGCTATGCTATGTTTCTGACGAGACATTAAATAAAACTGTCAACCCCATGACAGACATGAACGATCAGCAATCACTTTTCGCAAGAGTGAGGATATTGAACCAAGATTTACAACCAGCTCCAATGCAGATGTCGCTACCTAACACCCCTCTAGTTTAAATGAGGTTAGTCTGTTTCCTGCCTCGCTGCTCCCTGCCTTTTGAAGCTGCTCCTGTGGTCCAGTTGTTGTATGATGTGGTGGCTCACTATGGCAGCCACATTGAATTCCAAGAAATCTTCACTCCACCTTATGACTGGTGATTGAGCTGAGCCTTTACTGGGAAGTGACTAGCGATCTCCAGTGTTAAGAGAGGCGCTCTTTGTATTGTTAGTTTAATCAAGTGCTAATATACAATTAAGAAATACAATTAATTCAATTTCAGATTTGTTTGCATGGTGTGAGTCAAGGTTTCCATACTGAACTTGAATTTTAATCCTTAAATTAAATTCAATCCTTACAAAAGCCAATATGTCAAGTATGACAAGTGGCTTTTGTCATAGTGCTGTGGTCAGTGAGCATCACTTTTTTCTACTTTCAGCTCTTAGTTACATGTGAATTTTTATCACACATGTATTTAGTTTAAAGAGAGGCCAGAGGAGAGCTCCCTCCAAAGCTTCTGATTGTTAATACTGAGGTGTTATCGCATGACATTTTTTATCCATAAGGCACTTGAAAATGGTCAGAAAGGCAGGAACACCTTAGCACTCAGAAAGAGAGAGTGAAACATTTCTAGCAATCTTAAGGGGTTTTTAAATCCCATTTACCTGAAAAGACCCTCTGACAACATTGGTGTTTTTCTAGTTTCAGTAGTGGTTATATAACCAGGGCAGTCTTTTATTTGGTCTGAGCTCAATACGCTCAGATTATTTGTTTCTTTACTAATATTTATCTTCATTTTACCTTATCTTATTAGATCAATCAGAATTCAGCATAAAAAAACAAGAACTAACTTAAAGTACAATGTGTGAGAAGGACCTGTTTTTTTTCTTTCTATTCCATCAATGTAGGTTTTTGGTCCCCTTTTTTGCCCATCTGGTGTTTTGAAGGTCCATGACTTGTTTTTTTAAAGCCGTCTTTCAGTGTCCTCCTGAAATAAACAGGATTCAACTCCGCAACTTACAGAACATCCACTGACCGTGTAGCCTGCAGTGTGAATGCAGTAGAAGACTGGTTGTATGACTGAGTAAGGGCTCTGTCTGCTATGTATTGTGCCGCAGAGAAGCTCTTTTGAATATCAGTAAAAATGAATTGTTAGATCCCTCAACATCTCCAGTTCAATCCATGTGATGTTGTTATGATACCTGCACGTGCCCTCTGTCGACACCGGGAAACCATCTCCCTCTGCGTTTAAGGCACCGATATTCAAGGGCAGCTCGTACAAAGGAAGCAGAAAGTTAAACCACCCCAGCAATGTCTGGCAACACCCGGCCTCCTGTCTCTACATATAGGATTGTCGCTCGTTTGGTTTGGACCGTGCTGGATGCTGCTCTCCATCACGTCAGTCTGGTAACTGTGAGCTCGCATGTTTGAGAAGTCATCTAGCTCCCCTTGGAGAATGTCTTGACAGCTGGGCATGCCTCCTTAGTTTCCCACCAAGGGACTGAGGTCCCCGTGATGGTTCTTTAGCTTTTTCTTGAAGAAAGATATGGTGGAAGGCCTGTAGAAGATGATCCAGGGCTCAGATGCTGTGTTCTGACTGCAAGTGTCAGAGCCGTTATTTGATGGTATCGTCGGGGATCTAAAACCGACAAAGTATCACCAATTATTGGCGTAGTCCACATAAAGATGGACAGTTTTTGATCAATCAATCAGGAAAGCTTGGTTCTGATCAACTTCCTGCTAGTACAGAGCTATGCAGATAGAGGCTAGAGCACCCCAGAGTACATTAACACAGTAAAAAAAGGCCATGTAGTACTAACATTATGAATTTTTAAACTTTGCACTCCATTTGCCTATTAGTATTAATGTCCTATGCAATTTCTTTGCTTGTATTATGTTGTATACTGCATTATTTAAACAATGGCCTCAAACAAATGAATACTTACTTCACTGTGACGTGTAAGAGGAACTTCGCAACCATGGCTATGACAGTCAGGATCAGAAGAGCTGCTAGAGCATAGATAGTCCACACTGTTGGAGGGAGGGAAAGCAAATGGAAGAATGAACACCAGGTAAAATCAGCCTATTTCCAAGCGCTTTTCATTTTCAAAAGTATACTTGTTTGTTTCTCCACAAAAATTGTGCATAGTGCGGATATGGGTGACGTATTTCTAAAATGAAAATTATGAGAGTAAATTAGGTTGTTTTTTTTTTTAAAAAAAAGAAAAGGTCCTGGGTATATACAACAAATTAATAAAGGAACAATGCTCAGTAGATTGTGCTTTATAAAATAAGCTATCCTTAATCCCACAAATGGCAAAGAGCATAAGACTCTTTACCGGAAAAGCAGAATTTGCATATTAACACAGCTAGCAGAAGGAGCTACTGACCTGGCATGTTATGGTCTGGTTTACTCGGGCTGGATGTGATGACATACAGGATTTGAGAGGATCTGGCAGCATTTAAGCTGATATTAGCCTTTTCTGTTATCACTTCTGGAATGGGTCCAGTTGGAGTGACAGGCTCCTCAACCGATTTTGGCATCTGACCCCTCAGAGCTGATAAAACAACACATAGCAAAGCAATCAATTCAACTTCACTGCACTACACTCCAAACCACTGTCATTCTATTTAATCCACCAAGAGTGCCAAGTGACTCTAATTATGAGCCTTCAATGGCAGCAGAAGACGAAATACAGTAGGAATGATTGTGCATGTAATTATATATAGAAATAAAGTTTGGAAAGGGCATTAATGGTAATACATTTTTAGATAATAGCTACAATAATAACATACAGTTTGGTTTTCTTGGCATATTTTCATGTTCATGTAACTCGGTGAGGTAGGAATAGCCATGCACTTTCATTTTTATAAATGTATCCTTCATTTGCAACCAGTGTATTTTGTTTTAATATTAGCTGTAAATCAAATTCCAAGCACACCACCATAAAACCTTTCAGCCTTGCTGAAAATGTTGCTGAGTGCTCAGCTTCAGAAATAAATCTGTGCTACCATGTATTACTTTTTCCAGGATGGCCTTGAAAGAGCGGTGCATGCATCTAAAGATGTTTTTTCTCTACAAAAGATTTTCAGGTATATGTCTTTTATTCTTTAAGCACTAGCCTAACTTTGAAATTCTGTTGATCAGCTTTCAGATACAAATGCAGGACGTCTGCCTTTAATTGATGCCATTAAACCTGTCACTTATCATATTAGTGATATTTTATTTCCACATTACTACATTAGTTTGGTTAACAAGGTCACGGTAGTACAGATAAAAGCAGTAGTTCTTTCTGAGTAAGAAACAGGCTTCGTTTTAGTGTCTATTCAATCCAGAGAACTTTGTGATTTCAGATTTACAGCAAGCTCTCAAAGCATGAAGTGGAACAAATATTGTATGCTTGAGGCATCACAGTGTTTGTATAACAAGGTTCAAAATATATCTGAAAATATTTTACATAACAGTGTATTTTAACTGTATGGAAAAAACAACATTGAAAATACATTGTCTTCATACATAAAAATATCATTATCCTTCCTTTTAAAGACTTCACCAAATAAAATTGTAACTCTGATATGGAAATAAGATATTTCAAAGTAATAGCTCCTTAAATTAACTAACATTATTTTTTGATAATTTAACTGTAATGTGTAGAAATATTCTGTAATATTACTCATGCTCTGGATTAATGTTTATTTAATTCTCTCCTGCTTTTGTACATTTTATTCCAAACCTGTGCAAACATACACTGTACCAGATAGTGTTTGCAGACTTTATAACACATGCAGTTAAATCTAACACTACATGCTTGTTTTAATACCCCAGGAGAAAGGGTTTTTAAAGATGGATCTTTATTACTGAGTTTAATTTGTTTGGATAAACTATGCTTTATACTTTTATTGGGCCATAATACGTAATTTAAATGGTTATAAACAAGACTACATGATGAAAACACTAAACAGTAAATTCACAAGATGCTGATTAGCACTAATTGTGGACTACTTAATGGTAACGTTGGTCTATTTGCAGTCCGGAAACCTATCCTAAGAGTATTTCAAAGAATATTCTAAAAAATGGACGCTTTTCTGAAACGGTCTTAAGTCTTCTGAATTGGGGTATAAATCAGTTGTTGAATGTGACACTGTTCTGATCTTTTTGTATTTAAAAATTACAGCTGGTGTGACCATTGGAGAAGCTACACAATTTCCATTCCTAGTTACAGAACAGGAGAGGATCTTCTTCAGTCTGCAGCTTGTGGAAGAGTGTTAACTGGAAATCAGATGCACCTCTCGAGGCAAAACACTTCAGAAAGGAAAAGATCAAATGATTCATGGTACCTTTGTAGACCACAGCAAACCCGTGGGCCTGGTTCGTTCTGTCAGAGTAGAAGTAGAGGATGACAAAGTCGGCGGTGATGTTGATGATGCTCCGGGGGTGGTTCCTGCCGTCCAGCCTGGCCACCACTCGATTGCTGTAGCCGTCTAGCAGCTCCACCATGTCCGTCGAGTCCACGATGTCGAAGAAGGTGAAGTTGAAGAGGATGACCGAGGCTCCTGGCACCTGGATTGTCCAGTAGCAAACCCGGTTGGTCCCGTAGTTATCAGGGAAATCCGGAGAATAGATGACTCCAGATGGCGAGGTGTAGTTTCCACCACAGGCTCCCACCCGAGCTGGGAGACAGAAAAACATTAATTCTCAAAGCTAAGCAGCCTTATGAGGCTAAAGGACAAAATAATAACAATATACACCCGCATTATCTCCTGGTGATCCTTTACCAATCTGAAAGTAATGTGTCAATCAATTACGAAAGGTATATACAAAACTATTTTATATTTTAGGCATAAACGTATTTTAAAAATATATATATTTCATGTACAAAGAGTAGCAAAAATGTCTTTGAAAAGCTGCACATTTGATATTCTTTCTGAATGTGTGTAACCACCTGGGATATCACCGCAGTGTGAATAAACACACTGGTGACTATCGGAGACCGCGCAGCCAAAAATCCAAGTTTAGCCGAGTTTAATCTTTTTATCAAAACACGTTACTGAAGGTTAAAAAAACATTCCACTCACTGTCAAAAATGATGACTCTCCCGTCACCTCCACAGGGCTGGGTGTGATCCCCGAAACATACATGATTACATTCTGTGCTAGCCGCTGCTCCGTGTCTCCGAAAGTCTGGGTCATTGCCACAGAAACAAGCATAGCCTGACTCCATCCCTGCAAGCTGCAGCAAGCACACTGTACGTGAACACCCTCAGCCGGAGAGGTATCACACACAAGCTTGGAGCAAAAGAGCTCCGAGTAGAAAGAGAAAACAAGTTGATCCTTTTCTCCTCTAACATAAAGCCCACTTTTCATGTACTAACGTTTCGCCTTTCAGTAAGACATTCTGTTAACACTCTAAAAAATGGTGCAGTGGACCACAGTAAATCAGGCTACACAATCAAAAGAATGTTTAAACACAATTTTTCCTTGGATTGAAATCCCTATCTCCTGAAATGCACTTATAATGTCTGAAAGGATGTAAGATGTCATTTGTAGTGCGTTTTTTCTAAGACACTAATTCTAATTTGTTTCTTGCTGACTTAATTCTTCCCAAAGCGATATGGCAGGATTTCACTAGGGTGGTATTTCTATATGCATAAAAAAGAGACCATATCAGTACTTCCTATGGTTTTACAGAAGCTGAATTTCTCTTTATCTAAACACTGAACATAATTTGGGTTGTGAAACAAGCTCACAATTTCCATTGCAACTCTTGATAACATATTAAATGAATCGTTCAATTTTACTGAGTATCCAGTTACCAGGTGGGGTCTATCTACTGACAGAGCTCTTTTGTCTAAAGGATGCGCTGTTTCAAATGATACATAATTTGCATGTCTGCGACATTTGCATATTGTTCAAGCAAGTTCCATTTTGGTATTGTGATGTGTCAATTTAAAACAAACAAATTAGTCAACTAATCAAATGATCCTTGTTCCACAGTTCAGCAGGCATTGAAGTGTTTTATTTCTCACGGCATACCAATTACTGACATCAAACATTGGAATCTGAATGTATTGGTTCTGTAGCTTTTAGTTGTAAAGGAAAAACACCATTATTGTTTGCCTGACCCAGGTGAAGGCAGGCTTATTATTATGTACAGTAGTTAAGCTAGAAAGGGAAAACATGAAAATGATATACATTAGAGCCATCTGCTGGATAAATAATGTAGTTACCTTGTATCTTTGTCGTCTGCAGAAGCTGATGCAGTTCTGAATGGTGAGCTTATTGGAGGTCTCACTGATGCCAGTCAAAGTAGGAGGATCCCCACTGTCTTTGAAACAGCCAAGGTTTCCTGGCACTGCCGAATCGAGAGATAAAAGGACAACAAAATACAAATGGATTACTGCAGGAAAAGGCTGTTACATTGATAAAACCTCAGAAATAAAATCACACATTTAAACGTATATATGTCAAATAAAACTGTGGCCCCTTATAAACTATATTTTAACTATAGGAGTTTTATTTTTTATCAATCTACAAAATAAAAAAGAGCTCTGTAGCAATTATTTAATCACACCAGAAGAATTTCCAATGACACCAGATTTTGAGTTTAGCCGTCTCATGCTAATTCAGCTGAAAATGGTACATTTTTTTAAGGTCTGCTTTTATTTCAAAGGAATAATCAGGCTTCGACCTTGTCATTGTCCGAAGATAAAAAGATGGTCTTCGTCTTTTTCTTAATGGGAGCGGGAGAACACCAGAATGAGGGAGCTCAAACAAGTTCAGACGTTCAATTTTTGCTAGTATTTTGAGATAATGGACTCAAGAATGGAGCTCACATTTCACATGCATTTGTATTTGTTTATGGATGCTGTAACGATGCACTGAAGTCTCATTCTTCCTGTAGTCACAGGAGCATATGAAGCCAACAGATGGGCGCTGCAGACAAAACGCATGGTTTGTCAAGCACCCACAGGCTTGCTTTTGTTGCCTGAAGCAAGACAGTTATTAATGAGCCTAGAGTCTGGTGCCCCCTGTCCTACTGGTTGGCACCACAAGGAAAGACATCTGAAACATTAAGTCCTGCACTCTTTCCAGACAGACTTGATTAATATGGGAAGGGAGTCACAGCATTGGGAAGCAGCCTTGTAAAGTATGAGATAAGGGCAAAAAAAAAAGTTCACAAGAAGGGAAGGCCTGACTAAGTGATCTTTCCTGTATTAAACAGACATGGTTCTGGAGGCTGGTCAGCTACTGTTCTAGACTTGTAACAATTTAATACAGCTCAGGAACTTACACTAAAAACAGGAACAAGAATTACAGTAAAATACCAGCATACAAATACAGAGCAACAAAAGGTCTGTTGGTGAGAACAGAGGGTTAAGGTTCCCAAGACACATATCACATGCAGTTGAATGCCAAATTGAATCTCTCAATCAAAATACACAAGCAAAAAAGAAAACATTTAAATTGATGTCTGATTAATTTTGCATATTTGTGCAATTAAATAAGTTGAAGGAATCACATGAGACAGTTTCTATTTTCTATTCTCAAGGAACCCAACATTTTGTGGTATTCCCAGCTATCTTCTTAAATTAACATGCTTCAAAGTCCAGCCTGAGGGTAAAAAAAACTACACAGAGAAACTAAAATACAGTCAATCAGTGGGGCTTATCTTAAATGCTACGTTTAAGATAAGTTCATGTCCTTCGCTTCCCAAATGAACAAATCTGAACAAGGCAGTTTTCCATAACTAATGGCAAGTACAATGTGTAACACTGTGAATGCCAGGAATTCAAATGGATTAGGAAAGTGTCTGCTTGTTTCCTTCAGCAAAAGCAAACCGACCACATTTTTTGGGGAAAATGTGCAAATGAAATGTAATAAAGAAAAACATTGTCCTTTTGATCTCTCAAAAAACCTGGAGCATTATTACTTATAGTACTAGGCTAAAAAATAAACAAAAGTAACTTAGGAGTGTTAAAAAAAACAAGCAACCAATTTTCTAAAAGGCAGTCAGTAGGTTGTTTCTGTGCTTTACTTTTTATGCATTCTGAAAAAAAAAATGCATTTATGTAGGCCTTTGCACGTGCTGGCTGCCACTTGCCAATGTAAACTTCATCTAATACAATACATTCTATATTTGAATACCAGAGGCCAGCGAAATGGTTATTTGTGCCAGAGTGAAATACTAGCAGGGAAAGGTGAGGCTTTTGGAAATACTCTACACTAAATGTGGTACAAAAGAATGATAAAGGATTATCCTACACAGAGCTCACAACATATTACTGATTTTCATTCCTTGCATACATTGAGGTGGAAAGACTATACCTTTGTGATGACAGTTAAGAGTTTTTTTTTTAAATAAGAAAACACATACTTCCATTACCAACATAAATATATATATTTAACACCATCATCATACATATTCATTTTTGGAATTTTGAAGCGATCTGTTGTCGACAGCTTCTTTTACAATAACTTAAAAAGAGGACTGTATTCCAATGCACTGGTATGCAAATGCTGTCTTCTAGTTTTGAGGGGTTTAAAAAGACTTCCATGTGCTTTAGTTTTATTATCAAGTCATGTCACGACCCTGGGCACATTCAAGGGCTTCTTGGCAATATACGGTACATGTACTAACAGTATGAAAGGATTTGTTCATTCCAAAGCAGGCGGCTCCTTTGACTGCTACAGAACGTATGATGTCTGAGGTTTGGATGGCTTTTCTCTCAGTGCAGTCTCAGTACATGTAAAATTAACACCAGGCTACAACACCAGGAAGCCTCGAGCCATTGAGGTATTAAACTTCCATTACATATTCAAGGCAGTAGAAGTGGCACTTCAGGGCTCCATAACAATGACAGAGACAGTCTTTACTGCTGGGCAGTTGGAGGCCACACAATATCAACTTCCCTTTCTGTCCACTCCGATGCAGCACTTTAGTTCTTATATTGATCCTGCTACTTATGAATTCAATAATTCAGAAGTTTCCTAGAGCAAACGTCTGTAATGGAGTGGACTGGGAAGAGACACAAAGTGAGAAGCCATGAGCAACAGTTCAATAGTCAAATGCGTTTAGGTCGGTCGAGATGAGTTCCACTGAATATTAGCTGAATTCTGGAGATAAAGGACACAAGAAGAAAGTGCTACACTACTTAATTGTAGTTTAGCACTTATCAGGCTTGCTTGGCAAAGGCAGAGGGACTGAAATCAGCAAAGAAAAAGGGCTGTTAGAGAGTGGAACGGAGGTAAAGTCTCACTAGACATTGTTCCTGAACCAGGGTTATTGTCCCTTTTCCTTTATGAGCCCTGGACCGCAGTCTCACAAGTGAGGAAAACAGTTCCCCTCTCTCCAGCTATCCACTTGAGAGAGGGAAGCTACAATACAGCAGCAAGTAGCATTTTTGTATCTGACAGGGAATGGCATCCAAAACAATACAACAGCGGAAGATGCCAGGACTAGACCTGTAGCATTCATAGAAATTAAAAAAAAGATAAGCAAAAAAAATAGTCAGGATAACAAACAAAACAACATCAAAAAGTACTGAGTTGGCAAGTGCACTAGTACTTTTGGCAACATTACTGGCCTAACATGTCTGCAGTCAGCCTCCTCTCTGTATTATTAAAAAAGGTAATTACAGACATAAATTGTGATGACATCTGGAGAGAGTTTTGTGGAGGACTGTGGGTGTTTCTCTTTCAAAATACATTTTCGCTAAGCAGGCGGCTTCTTAAGAGTCACGCCCAGGCTGCACTGCCAGAGACATTTTTAGTTGAAAGAGGAAAAAAAAGAAAAAAGAGGACTTGTCATACTTAATAAGACAGGCTGTTTTCCGGATCTTCCAAACAATGTGTGTCCCTTTCGGCAAAATAGCTGCAGACTATTAATGAACGTTTTGGCTCATATATGCGTAAATTGTTTCTGTAGAAGATCCGAGACATGAGAAAACTTTTCTATGCAAACATTTTTAATTTAATGCTCACTTTCATGCATTTAATCCCATAAGTAGTTGAGCGTCTGAAGAAAGGTTGAGTTACTCCAGGTAAAAGAAGCCTGATTAAATCGTATGTAAATGAATAATCGTTATCTGAACTCAGACGTCTGGATTATGATTTTCAATCACCACGACCCTCACCAAGAGAAGTGAACTGAAAAAAGATGGGTGATTAAAAAAAAACTAAAAACAGCAGGTTTTCAGCTACACAATTCCTTGTTATAGAAATATAGGAGTCACTTATTGGAGAAGCATTTTTAAAATATCCTCACCTGCCACTGAACCTAATATCAGAATTGATAGCTGTCAACACTGATATCAAGCAGGCAAAATGCTAATGAATACTTTACTGTATTAATAAAAGAAATAAGCTAATGGACTACACATTGGTGGTGGTGGAGGGGAGTCCCCATTACCCGTAAAGCTCTTTTGAGTGGAGTGCCCAGAAAAGTGCTATATTAATGTAAGTATTTTTGTGTTTCTTAACAGTGTGAAGAGCAGCAATAAAGTTAAACTTCCCATGAAGGTGAGCTGAGGTACACCAAACCAAACAAAACTGTCACCTTGCAAGCTTTGAAGTAACTTCTCTCCCTGTCTGTGTGTCTGTGTGTCTCATGGAGAGCAAGCTGGGATATCTGAAAATACAAATTCCTAATGCCAAAAATCATATACTGTATGGCTAATAAAGTTATCTTATCTTAAGTAGTTGAACTTGTTTTGTTAACGTTCCTTTCAAACATTCTTCAGCTCATAAGGAGCGTCATCTTGTGTTAATTATTGTCTAAATTATTATTATCTATTAAATGTTTTCATTACAATTAACTAGATCCTCATAACTACTTAAAAATCAAACACAAAAGATCTTTCACCCATAGTCCGTTTTTCTGGTATATCTTTTTAATTTTTCATTTATTCTGAAAAGCTCCTCTTTTAAGAACGATTTTTAAATAGTGTGTTTTTAAATAAGGTGGGGCAAGTCTTCAGCCATGTATATTCAATCTTCATTTCATCAATGACAGTCGTTGAAGTGCAATAAGAATTTTGGAAAAAATTGCTTGGGGGAATATGGTTTGTTTACTAATCCCATTGATTTGATTTCCTGAAATAAATTTTAAAAATCAGCTAATTTTATTACAGCTTTCTGGCTCAAAAGACATCAGTCACTGGACACCGGACACTGAATAATGTTAAATTTTGACAAATTGCTGCTCTCCATTATCTCCACTCTATCATTGTAACATACATATTCAGCTTCAATTACCAATGTCCAAACACTGTGCTACATAAATTAATAGCTTTCTCTGCAATAAAATAAATAGAAACTGTCAATTCTTTGAAGTACATTCATCTTCTTGCAGCA